CTCTCTTTAGTGTTTTAATATTTGATTTGAGCGATTTGATTTTAGCAGAATAATTAGCTCGTTCTGCTTCATGCTCACGTTGACTCTCAAAATGGGACTTCTGCTCAGAAGTAAATTGGGATCTAAGCTTAGTATTTGCACTATTTAGCTGACTAACCTTATTTCTGATATCAACATGGAATTGCTAGAACTCTTTTCTCACCATGAATACTTATCTACTAACTTTTCGTTAAGATCATTGATTTCTGCTTTAGATTTAAGGGCAGAATATAATTCTTCTTTGAGCTCTTGCTCATATGCACTACTAAGCCGATAACCATTATTATTAATATCTCTCAATTGGTTATAGCTTTTTTTGGCTTAGTTGCTAGTATATTAATAAATATGTGATTAAAATTGACTTAGGTATCTAAATGATGGTGTGAATTATAAGAAACTATGTCATTTCCGCTAAAATTATTTTTATAGGATAGAAGATCCCATAGTACATATAGCATTATTACTTCTAATACTCCCAATACTTCTGATGCTTCTAATACTTCTGATACTTTATATAGTATTAATTTTTTACACACATTTTTTATTAATATCACAAATAGTCTTCATACTATGTGTAGAATTAATCCTTCTGATACTTTGCATAATACTAATTTTCTGCATAATTTTGATACTACATATAATTCACATAATATTAATATTTCACGTCACATACATTTTTTATTAATAGTATGAAAATCTGATCGACTGCTAATATGATCAACTCCCTATCTAGAAGATATATGCACTCTGATGCTACAAAATTATCTTCTGCAAATTACAAAGATATTATACAATACCAAGATATGAAATTCAAGCCTCTGGATCAATTAAGAAAGAGATTCCATGTATTAACTTCTTGTTTATATCAGATTTGGAGAGAACAGGAGGTGGGAAGGGTTGAATGGAACTATTCAGCTGTCCCACTTTATTATTCAAATACAAATATTATAGATAGACAGGATATATCTAAAACCCTATCAGAGTGTAACATTATTACTGAAAGTAAGGATAAAAAGACTGAAGGAAAGAAAATCAAGTCTAAATCTGTTTATATCTCTGAGTTGCCTGTTATTCAGATTAAGCCGACCTCAGAAAGTCCTAAAGGCTTAAAAAGTGAAGAATTACATGCATTTTATAAGAATGAGGCTAAGAGAGATGAAAAAATTAAAGCAGATATATCCTGTTTACTAGCTATTACCTAATTATTTTACTGTTTGCTGGAGTAAACCATCTGTAATCTTTCGCATAAATCATTGAGTTTTGCTTTAGACTTGATATTGATATATGTTTTTTTTGAGCTCCTCATACCTCACTTTTTTTTAATATATTATCGTCTTCACTTAAGTCCTGTAAGTCTTGCGAAATTTTATTTGGAGTCAAGGAATCATTACACTCAGAAGTAATATTCACACAATTCACCTCAAGCTTATTCTTGACCTTATGCATATTGATTGGAATAAAAATTTCTTACTATTACACTCTTTTAATAGTGGTGTTAAGCTTAAACTGTTCATCCTTAAGTTAACAAAGATTATTTGCTAGCTGGGAGTTTAAGTACGTCTAAACTATGAAAGAAATAAACACGAATAGTTAAATTGAAGAGTCAGATCGTCTTTATTGATATAGATTTAAAGAAGAATGAAGTGTTTTATGAGCAAAGATAAGTTTTAGAGATAAAT